GTTTCCTCGGCGAAAGAAGGAAGACGAGAATCCACCCTACGTAAAAATTGGCCAAAAAGAAACCTACTACTACAGGTCCTGGAGTTCAAGCTGCTTCGCTGCTCCACCCCATCCAAAGAAAAAAGGTGGGAATCCCGCAACGCCTATCGTCGCTACTGGGATCTCCGGCTAGCAGCAAGAAGAGGGCCTTCGCTGCACCTAGGTCAGCGACAAACCACATCGAAGCGGAGTGGAAGTCTGGAGATATGAATGTCAGTCTACATGGCGTTCTTGGTCGCATGAGTAGTTGTTGTGCGATCAGGAGATCTTGAACCGAAGGGATGTGCATTGAAACCTCAAAATTCCAAGCAAGACTTTGTGTTTACTGCATTGCACAACACTGAGCTTCACAGCCCAGGGCACTGCAACTTATGTTGCTCGAGTGCCCATTATATGTGTATATATATATATTCTCTCATGCTGTCATGCTCATTCCTGCAATGGGATGTTCTCGTGCACTGATCGGTTCTCTGGACCAAACACAGAATCAAAACGGATGGAACAAATTAGAAAGTCAAGAAACTCCCATCTGATGGCTTCGTTGGGCCTTTCGATGGCCTACCTGTAGTCATTAACATCTCTAGAGCGGCAGTGCCCAAAACTCTCGCGGTCGAGCAGCTCATGATGCCCTGCAAGTCAGCCATCCGAGTCTTCCAATCGTTGATGTCAAAGACATGGCTGGCAGGGAGAGCCAAGGATGAAACAACAACAGCGAGGCTCGGAAAATGGAACTCGACATAACTTGACCGCATTCCAAACGAGGCTGTTGAAGGAAGCAATAAGAAAGAAGTGGTTTGCACAGAGCTCCACTTGAGACAACTGACTGCCAAACAATATCGTCCACCCCAACCCCCCCCAATCCATCGCAGAACAACACCGCGATTCACCTCTCACTCATTCGCCGCAAGCGCGAAGTCATGGAAGGCTCTAGGATGGCCATGGCTTCAGGACACAAGAGGGAATGCCAGAGTCCGCTTCGAGGAATTCAGAGCATCCCTCGCCTCCAGAGCCCGAAGGCTCACCAGAGGATCTCCGTGGTTCTTTTCTGTTGGATGGCAATATTAGAAGAGACAAACATGCTCAGGCAAAGAAGGACTATGACTGACCTGTTCTCAATCCATGGACCGTGTCTGCAAAGAACACATTTACTAAATGTTGTGGAAGTCGATTCGGCTGTTGATCTCGTTGATCCCGAAAGTAATGACGGGTTAAATGTCCAGACCATGTCTCAGCTTGAGATTCCCAAGTGAGTATTCCTTGTTGTGTGTCTCACGGTTCAACTGATGTCCTGATCTCCCAAACTGCTACGGCCTGAATGGCCCAAACGGCTCAAACGGTGTTCGACACCTGACTCCTTTCAAGAAAGCACTCTGCAGGTATCCACGTCCACCAATATGGCGAAACAGCTGCCCTCTTCTTTCTCCACAATGGCACCATTGGCTTCATCTGTCCCTTTGAAGTCTCTTTCTGCAAAGCTGATCCTCAGAAGAGTGACTTGCAACGCATTTCAGAATTGACTCAGGGGACAATGACATGAGTGCAACTGGAAAGAAAGTCAGATCCATCACAACACACCGCGAATTCTCGACAAGGCTCTTCCGAGCCAGTTCGACCTGGCTGTGTGACCAGAGAAACATGGACGGAGCAAACACTCTGCCTCCAGGAGCCTCTAACCTGTTTCTGTTGTGGAAACAATAGAATTTTTTGTTGTGGCAGGATAAACACCTCTTCGGGAAGGGCAAGCGCCACTTCGACGCTAACGTTTCACCCCGACAAATTAAGAGACTGGCACACCTGATCAATTACAGTAAATCTGCTTTCAAAGTGGTATGCCTGCTGGCCTGGACTTGTAAACGGATCAAGCACTACAATGCGAACACACAATTACCAGCAACTTCACCACAGCTCGAATCAGGAAATATATCCTTGTTTGCATGTTGTACCATCAACTAGTTGGCATCGTAAATGGCAGAATCATCCTCGTGCAATGACTGACGGAGTGAGATTCTGCAAAGGAGTGTTGCTTGAAAACCACATCAACTTCGGCGAAAAAAAAACAAATTGGCGATTGCACTTTTAGTGCGATTGAACACCACAACTTTTGACCATGTCCAAACAAAGGCATGTCCATGCGCCCGCCCAGCCTTGGGCTTGGCCCGGCCGGCGACCTTTCGGGAGACCTGAGGCTGCACGCAAACCGCACCGTCATTCCCGCGATGTTTAAAACTTTCTGCCCACCTCTGTGGCACTGTTGGGGGTTCCCAAACACTCTGGACCTGGCACTCCCCAACCTTCTGGATTGACCATCTACTCAGAGATACACAAAAAGAAACACCATGGTTTGAACTCTAAAGGGAACCAAGTCCAGAGCTCCCAAGTAGCAACTTTCTGTCCCCCAAAGCGGTGTTAACGGGCCTTCTTCCTAGTCACGCTCGATGATCGAGGCACCAAAGGTTCCTGGCAGGACTTGCGACCGCGACCCACCACGGTGCAGTTTTGCAGGTTTCACAAAACCATGGCAAGGAATGGGGCTTAGTAAAGCAGTGAAGATGACTGGACTGGGATATGTTTGCAGAATTGTTGGTATGACATTGCATCCACCACCCTTTAAAAGACTTTAAAAGCACCTGCTCTTAATCCGACAAGCCGCAGCAGTGCTTCCAAGCGAAGCAGAACTTCGGTCCCGTCGCTTGCTTTTTCCATAGAAAATGACTAAGTGAAATGCAAGAAAGCCAAGTGATGCAAAAAGCATATATACATATACATTATCATTATCATATATATATAAGGTTTGTGCAGACTGCCAAACCCCGTCTGTCCACAAAGACTGTCAACCACACCAGCTCAGCGGCACGCCTGCTGGTTGTTTCCAGACATATCGGACTCCTCAAGGTCTGGGTCGGGTGCCTGTAAGGCGTCGGGCGTGGGTCAAGCGCCTTGGCAACCAAAACCTTAGACGAACATCACAAAACAAGTCCCACATCCAACAAATGCTTAGAAATGTGCAGTTGATGTCCTTCCATGTCATTGTGACTTAATTCAGAGATATGTGGTCCTTCGAGGTGGTTTGCCTATAAGGACATCGAAGGCTTGAGTAGACATGCAAACCCCCACCCTTCGTCCTGACGGTCCCATTCAAGCTCCATCGTCAGTCAAACAAAACCCTGTACCCCAACCAGCTCCCAAGCCGCGTGCTGGGAACTATGATGACTACATGAGGCGTTCAATCACCGCAAGGAATCTGTCTGCCAGGGTCTATCTCCTACTGTAACCGTCCAAAAGAAGAACGGTCATGGCAAAAAGGAAAACTTGGAGCTGCTGGCGAACCGCCCATTTCAGCCACAAGAGGAGAAGCACTCATGGTGACCTAATCGCATCTGCATATCTGCGTGACTTGGCAAGATGCAGATGAAAACGACTCATCGCAGTGCTTACGAGTATTGTGAACTTGCCGCTTGCGGCTAAAGCCACAAGGGCCCATTCGAGGTAAGTGTACATCTCAGGATGCTTCGATGGAAAGCACGCATGAAAAGCTGCCCACGAGCCGCATAGGACCATCGGACCCCATCTCATGAGCGGATCGCGCTTTTCTTTTCTTTGCATGTCCAGTACATTTATACTTGATAATGATGACGACCACGACGACGAGGATGATTGCTCTTTTGCTGTTATTATGTTTGTCCACACAATAGAATACAGGCACCTTATTCCAACTCCACGTGCAAGGCTTGCACTCTACCTGGCAAGGGTGCTCTACGTGCCAAACGGTGTGATCGATGGAGTCCAGACAGTCCGGGCCTTCTTTAGTGAGGGCGCACTGCAGCACCTCACCAAATTGCTTTTGAATCCGCCTGACTACCTCCTCTACTCGTGGAGCCTGACCATGAAAGCGACTGATGACTGATGCTTGTCTAAATTGCTCTAGGATTCAACTTAAAGGTTAGTTTTTGCCTTAAAAAACTTGCAAACACGACACTATTTTCGTCATCCAGAGAGAGAGAGGGGGAAGAAAACTTATCGGAGAGTCCTTGAAAAGCGGATCTTGCAAGCAAAAGATTCCACAGATCAAATGACTTATATCATATCGCTGGAAATGACAGCTTCTGCATTGAGAAAGCTGCTATTTTTGTGTAGGACATTCTGCGGACATGTCACATCCTCTGAAGGAGGGCTTTGATACAATTGCAGTCTGTCTTCAAAACGGCATATAGATTTCCAGAAGAAGATGTTCAAAGGTCGGCCTTTCTTTTCAAGCTTTCTGGCTATGTTCTACACTCTTGGAAAAGTGCAATGACTGGAAGATGATACGCTTTATGGGAAACAGGAGCTCCGATGCAAGAACAGTATGTTTATACGTGTATATATATATATACATTCCAAAGATAGTCACAAGGTAACGTTATTCTTTTCTAAGAATGCAACACAGCACGGCCATAGGACTGCAAGTTGAAAGGAGGACAAGATTTACCAACAAGAATGAAGGATGCATGAAAATCTACAAGGCTCCAGGTCCTTTTTCACTTTTTCAGAACTGGTTCAGAGCGAGGTGAGAAGGCGGCCGATTTTCTCAAAGTTGTAATGGTCCACGGCTTTTAGGTCTCCTGAAGCTATGTACGGTCTTGAGGGAGTAGAACCAGCGGCTTCTGGATGTGATGAAGCATGGATGTTGAATGCAGAGGGTGAACAAGAAACAAAGAAGCAAAACAGATATCCCCGGCAGGACATTTGCCACCAGGATGAACAAAGGAGCAAAAACAAGACAATCATCCCTGGCAGGAAATTGACCAGCCTGAAAAAAGGACAAAGAAGCAAGACCATCATCCTCGGCAGGAAATTTGCCACCGGGGTGTAGTTCGTATTGAACAACAATACTGCGAGGCTCTCGACAATAGCGCAAAAAAAAGAGGAGCAACTAATCCGTCAGGGCTCAGATCTTTAACGATGAAACGATTTCCTCACACTCCCCTCCAATCTCTGCTCTTTGCCTCCCCAGCTGGAGACTCTGGGAAGCCATCACTGGCAGCTCCTGGAACACCCAGCACTTACTAGGCCATGTGGAGGAATGTGCAGGTGATAGAGTTACAAACCAAAACGTAAAAAATTAAGCATGAAGTCCACATGCGTCCATCACTTCTCTCTCACCTACAAACCCAAAAAATCACATGGACCTTCGAAACTGCTCCGCAACAACTTCTCGGGCACACATTCTCAAAGAAAGGAGCGGACCTCGCCTTGAGAGCTGCTGGGTGGTGGTCCTAAGGCCTCGAAACAACTCAGCATGGTCTTCAGCGCCCCGTTCTCCACCTCCAAACAATGCTGCCGTTGCCGCGCAGAGCGCAACTGCGTCCTGGACAACGACTTCGGACTGCCACGTAACTAACTTAATGCACTGGAGGTCCCACCTTCCAAAGAACTAACCCGATACTACTCTACTGCGATTCCTACACTGTGCTGGATAAGCTTTAGCTATAGCAATCCGAAAGAACCCTTTCAAGAAGGCTGACATGTGAACAGGTAAGGTTTAAAACTTAAACCCTAAATTAAGGCGGTTGGACGGTTGGACGCGTTCAGTTGAACGGCCCCTGTGAGGGCCCATTCCAAACCTCAATTATGGAGACACAACGCACTGCTTCACAGTCCGTCCCTTTCCACATACAGTATATAATTTTCAACTGGACCACTTCACTGACTGTGTACTGTTGTTGATAGCATTAAACTGTTCATGGAGTGCACCCCCCGAACAAAGCTGGCTTTCTGCCAATATATTACTGGGCCCACCCCTACCTGCTCACTCAGCAAACTCAAATTGTTCAATTGTGACTGATGAATTGATTGTCTAACCAAATCTCATCAATCCCATCCAGCCTCAAAAGCTGGTTCTCCTCCACCAGATTTTGCCGCGCGCGCCGGGCAGCTCGCGCTTCCTCGTCCAACGCCACACGAAGCTGTTGCTGTACGGCCTGGCGTTGAAAGGCGACAGCTGTCGCTGCTGCCGCTGTTCCTGTCCATCTCAGTTGGCCTTTCAGTTCCTCCTTTCAGTTCCTCTGCGTTTTAGATCAATCGGAAAAGTGTGTGTACCAAATTTAAACCGTCTTTTCCTGAATGCTTATGGAGGGATTCTCGTTTGACTCTCGGCGTTTGGGGAGGTAGAGCTGTGTTCGCGTGACTTCCCAAGTGTGAGGTCTGCCTTTGCTGCGCAGGTGCAGCTTTTCATGAGGTCAGCACACTGTGCATCGCCCTGCCATTGAGATTGGCCTTCGTGGTTTTGTTGCGTTGTTTGTTTTCGGTTTGCTTCGAAACTGAGTTTGCGAGACAAGTCTCAGCTAAAATTGCGATTTTGAGTGGTGCAGGCAAACCGTGAAGCTGCAAAGCTTAAGTGTCGACATCATTTCAAAAGTATGTTGCTCGCACATTTTACTGGACATGTCAATGTGTGGCATAATCACTTCTGGTGGCAGGCACAGTACTTTGTGCGTCTTGGCAGGCGCAGGGTAGCACGAGGTTGCACCATTTGGTGAAGGTGATTGTAGTTCAGCCATTATCATAGTGTTTTGGTGTGTTGTGCTCTTTGGAAGGGCGTAGGATTGCACAGCTGCTTGGCAGCGCTGAGATTTTTCAAGTCACTTTTAAAGGAGGAAGTCTCGTACGAAATGCTCGCTTTGGAGATTTGGTGGCTGTGACTTCTGGTGGCAATCTCGAACGGATCCCTCGTTTTGGAAACTCAACGTGTGATTTTTGGAGGAAGTCTCCTACGAAACGCCTGCTTTGCTTGTGGGGCACTCTTGCTTCACACTTTTGTAGGACACTCTTGAGCAACACTTATGTAGGACACTCTTGCTTGACACATCTTTGTAGGACACTCTACTAGGGCACTCTTGTGGGACATCTTGCATTGCATGACACTTTTCTAGCGCGCTCTTGCTCTACAACTCTACAACAAGCATTTCGAACCAGGCTTCTTTCACTTGGAGCCCTATAAGAGTGCCGGACAAGCATGTCCAGCAAGAGTGTTCTACAGAGTTTCAAGCGACAGTAGTGTCCTGGAAGAATGTCGAGTCACGCAGTCTAAGATGTATATTATATATTTGTGTTATATTCAAATTGCTTTGCAGTTGGGTTCGTGGGTTGCATCTTGCTTTCACAGGAAGTACAACTACTGATCACTCTAGCCCATTTGTTGCCAATGTCGTTTGCACCAATATAATCAACGTGGTTGGTGCTACTTGTTTGCAAATGTGGGGAGGGTGGGGCTGGAGCTGGCTTCAGCTGGGGGGAGCTTTCCTTACTGTGCTTCTCATGCCATCAAAACTGTGCTAGCTTCTATTGTGGTGCTCCTCGTGCAAACGAAAGTGTTCTATTCTGGTTTTCCGATGATTTCTTGTGTTTTTTGCGCATTTTTGGTGTTCCTATTGGTGCTATTTTTTGTATAAAAAGACGCATGAGAAAAGAGCACGACAACGATTACAAGCCGGATTCTGTTCTGAAGGCGTTCACTAAAAACTGGAGGGCCAAAGTCATGCCGGATCTTTTCTTTGAAGGGCCTGGAAGCGAGCAAAGGGCAAAGGCAATTACTTTCCTCCCTCACACTCTTCCTGGCTGACGGGTTTTTTGACCTTGCGCATGGGATGGGCAAAGAATGCCCGTGGCTTATCCCCATGCATTGTGACTGGGTGCGCAGCAGACGTAGCAGCCAGGGAAAGTACGAGTGATCTAGTCAGGCTGAATGATGGGTGGATGCAGAGGATACAGGAATCCCGTCTTCCGAGACCTTCAGCGCAAGGCTTCTTTGTTCACCCTGGTGGCCGACTTCCTGCCGCGGAAAACGGTGTTGCTTTGTTGTTCCTTTCTTCACCGGGGTGGCAAATTTCCTGCCGAGGATGATGGTCTTGCTTCTTTGTTTCTTTGTTCAATTTCCTGCTGGTGACACCTGTTTTGCTTTGTTGTTCCTTTGTTCCCAGCAGTCTGAGAACTTTTCCCAGCCTTCAGTGTAAACCTGAGCTTGAAGCATCAAAGAGGCATTCAACGCGTGGTTCAGTCAAACGTGTGAATAGCTCTCACGCTGCGTCCATTATATATGTGGATATGAAGGCGAATGGATAACCAAACAAGCCAGACTTAGAGCAACTTTGCATGCATATGTTGTCTAGCACCTTTGTTTTGCGGAACAAAGCTTTCTGTGGTTGTGATTGTTCATTGCTGTACTTGATGCTTTGGCAAGCATGGTTGCTGCGCTATGTGCTGTGTGTGATTTGCAAATTGAGAGTAGGCTCGATGTTTTCTTCAGCACACCTTGCGGCGGAATCAGATATATAAATATAGTGAGCAAGACATCTTTCCAGTGAAACTGTGAAGCTGGGATGGGAAGTACTTAACTTGAAAGGCTCAGGCCGTTGATTTGTGAAGCAATCAAACTATGTGAGAACTTTCAAGCGTTGAGAAGTCCATTAGCGCGAGAGTTTCATATTGTCACACTTGGCTCAAGGGCAACTGAGACTTAGGCAGCAGAATACAGAAGACAAGCGCTTCAATCGCCTTGCAGTTTGAGATTGTAATCTAGACGCCTTGCGTTTTGCAGCTTGGACCAGTTCACTTTGTTGATTTCTGCTTGAGGAGACATCCATCCCGGTCCATCCCAATTTTCCGGAAAACAGCCGCCCCCTTTTCTGGCCTCCTGAATCTGTGCATCGAGGTTGGAGCTGGCAGCTGGCTCCTGGACATCCTGCTCCCAAATGAAGAAAGTGCCATCCCCCTCTAATGTCCTCTGCTTCCAACCGCAAGGAAGGAAAGGAAGGAAGGAAAGAAAGAAACAAGAGTCCAAGCGCTTTCTCCATCTAAGTAGGATTTAGTCTAAAAAACATGCTGCACAAAAGCACACCGATCACGCCCGCAGAGAAAACTTTGTCTGCGTGGTAAACCCAATCGCCTGACCTGTCTGACCAACACCTCTCGCCACTACGAAACTCACATTCTGAGCCTGAGCCTTTGCGTCTTGTAACTGTTCAAGCTCAAGGCGCCTTGGCACGAAACATGTTGGTTCTTGGATCAAGTAGATGTCGGTCTTGGTTCTTTGGACCTACTACCACCGTGAAGTTTAGTTTGCCCGAAACAGCTGATGTCCCCAGTTCTTGTTCAAGAGCTTAGGCATGCTTAAGCTATTCAACTATTCCTCTCTTTCCTTCAGCTCTCCAACCTTACTTTGAACCTCGCTTTGTTGCCCCCTATGCCAAACTCGCCCACCCAACCTGGGCATCCCTCTCTGAGTCCGGGCAATTCCAACTCCCTCTCAGCACAGAAAGCAGAATGCTGCGCCAACGCTAAGCGCAGCTCCTGGTGCTCATTTCTTCGACCCATTTGTGACTGTGTGCACTGCGGGGTGAGGGGCCTCCGACTCAATCAACCAACATCTCCCAAGAGTAGACCCTAAAGTAGACTTCACATGCCTCGAAGGACTCACGGGTCTCCAGTTTCGACGCTCGCCCTCCTTGCCCTCATCATCTCTTCGACCCTCTCCAGCCCTCTCCTCGCGCTCCTCACGGGCACGGCTTAAGGCTTGCAGAAGCTCTGAGCTGGCGCCCACCCTCAGAGCCTCTGCTTCGCACCTCGAATATCTCGATCGCTTTTCGACCCCTTGAGTGCGACAACGGGCCCTCTTTTAGAGGTTTTCTCCAAAAGGAAATTATGCCAGCACAGACCCCAGATAGCAAAAGATATTTCTGGGCAGCAGAACGGCTCCAACACACAAGCACCTTTTCCTATACTTGAAGTAAGGATCCCAATAGCTCTCGCTATCTGGGGGAAAATGTTGGTTGCACCGCACCTTATGTTACTTTGTTACATTTCCCTGCGCTCCCAACACAAACTGTGACATGTTCTTAAAGAGCCATGCAGCAACGTATGGACTCCGACTTTCGGTCCAAGTATATCACTCCAGTCAAACAAATCAACAGTTCACAGAATCAACACATCCAGTCACCTCTTATGACACGCCCTGTGCCTCAGTTCCTCGGCCAGTTGGGCCAGCTCCTCTCCCAAGGGCACCGTGGCCAAACGCTCAGCCAACGCTGAGAGACGATCCACCAAAAGGCCCAAGCCGCCTGGGGGCTACAGGCGTCCTTGCTCCTAGTAGCGATGCCCTTTGCTCCTAGTAGCTTCTTGTTACTAGTAGTAAGGCCAGGAGCTACCAGTAGCTTCTTGTTACTACGTAGTAGTAAGGCCAGGAGCTACTTGTAGGTTCTTGTTACTAGTAGCGATGCCCTTTGCTCCTAGTAGCTTCTTGTTACTAGTAGTAAGGCCAGGAGCTACTAGTAGCTTCTTGTTACTACGTAGTAGTAAGGCCAGGAGCTACTAGTAGCTTCTTGTTACTAGTAGCAATGCCCTTTGCTCCTAGTAGCTTCTTGTTACTAGTAGTAAGGCCAGGAGCTACTAGTAGCTTCTTGTTACTAGTAGTAAGGCCAGGAGCTACTAGAAGCTTCTTGTTACTAGTAGCAATGCCCTTTGCTCCTAGTAGCTTCTTGTTACTAGCAGTAAGGCCAGGAGCTACTAGTAGCGTCCTTGCTCCGAGTGCTTATGTCAAGGATTGTCATGGTCTACAAGTATGTCCCAGTAATGTTCAAGCGATCGATGAGCAATTAGTCGACAACCGTTAACGTCCATCAATAAGTTGCCTTAGTAAAATAATGATAGCATTAGTGGTGCATTGTAGCCTCAAAAATGGCCAAGTGATAAAAGAGTTGACCCACCAAAGTTCACCTTTGGATTAAAAAGCAACCGCCTGCCAAGCTTTGATGATGAACGAATAATTACTCTGGTGCCTTTGCTGCTCTGCGCGCTCTCCATGGCACATCTTCTTCATTGCAATGATTGTACGCAGGAAAGAGCTTGTCTCCAGACCGCACTATTATATAATCAAACCCAAACTGAGACCAATAATGTACAGTTGTGTTCGGACAAATGAATTTGATGTTGATTTGCGTTATTGGGCAAAAGCTAACTGCAGACATCACGATCAAGTTCATCTCATGTTGATGCTGCAACTGCCTGGGATCATTCCACATCCACCACGAAATCTCAGAATCCTGTGACTGAAGAAAAGAGTCTGTGTGAATTTGAAGGGAAGAGCTTGGTTCACGCAGAAAGTCATTGCACAACACACTTTGCGTAAAACGCCGAGCCTTTGGTCTGCACTGCTGGCGATCAAAGGTTTGCAGCCAAGCTTTTGTTTCACTCACGAGTGCAGCCCTTGGGTCCTCAAGCGGCCTCCAGGCAACCATCAATCGCAGAGGTCCAGCCATCGTGTCGGGTCATGTTGGAGACTCCTCAATTTCTCAATTCCGCCCTTTCGCGGATATCCTCAAACAGACCAACACTGGGCAGTAACGGCCTGCACTGGAGCACCTTCGAACGCACGGTGTTCTCAACCACCTTGGAGATCCTGTTCCACATCCTCCAGTTTCTTCAAAGCCTGGCTGAGAACCCGCGAATAAGCCCAAGGAAATGACATCGCTGAGTTATTTATGTATCTATATAATATATACTCAATATGTTTGTAGGCATCAGTCGTTAAAGTAAGGTATTGAAGGGAAAATTCTGAGCTCCCAAGAGTTGGGTGGCCATGCACAAGAACGTGTGTTTGTGTTTGTGTGTGTGTGTGCGCGTTCTGTTTGTGACAGTTTGTGCGCAAAATGGACAAGGGAAAGGACGGAATGGTAGCTGGGAAAAGCGCAGGCGTTCCATGACGTGTTCGCTGCTCTGCTGCTCGCCTCTTGTGCAGGGCCATTGTAGACCTCCTCCACGTGCATCTAGGCAATCAAGGCGGCATGACCGTGCAATGATCAGAGCGGTAAGTGTTTTCGAGCAAGGCATCCTGCTTCATCGTAAGGGTAAGTGGGCCAAAAGGATGCCGCTTCTACTTCAGTCCAACTCATTGGGAAGGAACTCTCATGTTCCGTGGGTCACCTTCGATTTGACCTGCAAATAATGTTACTACACTGCCAAACCTCATGTCACTGCAACTCTGCAATGCCAAGTCACGCCAGGCTTTCCCTTTTGCATGGTGAAGGACTGCTGCATAGCAGCCTGTCATGTCTTACTTGGGCTCTTGTTTAGGTTCACACTGAAATTTGGACAGGGTCCTTAAGTTTTTGCTTCGCGTACACCACTAGCCTTGTTTTCGTGCGCTCATGACACTCTTCACCAAGAGAAGAGAAGCAAACGTTGGAACGTTCGGCCACTCCACACCAGTCCTCACCTTGGTGTCCTCAATGGACTCTCGCACTTTCTCTAAAGCCTTGTAGCTGGGGCTGGTCCGGATGCCAAAGCAGGGACAAATCCAAAAAGTGGAGAACCTAACATTTTGATAAATACTCAGTCAAGAAATGGAGCCGATCGAGCAAAAGCCTACCAATCGTACAGTGGCTAGAGGGTCTTTCAGGAAAAGTTCACTGTGTCTAGTCCTATAGGTTGCTGAGGTTTGACTCACTTGATAACTCCTTGGCAACTTCGCTGACCCCTCCCTAGTAAGTTGGAGGCCATCGGTGCAGGCCATCGTTACTAGGTTGGAGGCCATTGCTTTAGGTTGGAGGCCATGGCTTATGTTCATTTCCTTTGAGATCTTTGAGTGGTTCTCTGCTTTCGCGCTGTCCACTTCAATAATCTTCAACAAGGTCAACCGTTTCACCACATTCTCTTTGCATCCTTCTCTATTGTGACTCACATTCTCTTGCTGGGCTGGGCTGGGCTTCTTGGACAACCTTCCAGAAGGAGCCTCCTCACACTATCAACCGGGTATCAAGCAAGACGCTTGAACAACAAGGTCTCTTCGTGTCCACTTGCCTGAAAGACCACTCTTATTCATATTCAAAGTCGTTCATTCAATATCTTCCACCTTTTTTGCCAGTTGCTTGCCCGACGCATTCGCACACACTTGAGATATGGTGTACGGAACTGAATGCGGAGACAAGAAACCACAAGACAGCAAAGCGGTCAAAGTTGGAGGTCTTCGCTCTTAGGTT